ATGTGGGATCCGAACCGAGGCTCTGCTGCTCAGAGCTGGCATCCCAAGCTGACTCTGAACCAATGTGCCACTCGGCCTGCCCTAATACTATATTTTTCAAAAATGTTGATTTGAGAGCTTTTTTTTGTTGTTTTTTTTGGGGGGGTATGTGTATGTGTGTGAGAGAGAAGTTTTCTAGCTTTAGCCAGTTTTCTTTTCTGACTGACTACATGACCTTTGGGATTTTTATTACTACAATAGGTACAGAATTTTTCAGTGTTTCATTATGAGTGAATTGCTTGAAGGAACTTTAGTGTATTCTCAGTTTTTCTCTGTTATTCTAATTAGCTGTAATAAGCTTTACTGTTATAAAATGTAAACTTCAATAACATTTATTATATTCCCTTTATAAGCAGAAGGAAAAATTTAAATTGATTTTACTCTCTTGATTAATATATTATTTTAAAGGCAGTCGTGTTTAGCAGTCCGGGGGTGGGTTGTATACCAACTTTAGTGACACTAATGTTAACCTCTTGACTAATATTGGTATGAAGTCTAACCTTGGTGAATACTTTCAGTATGAATTAGTCAATATCTGTTGTGTCATGTATTTCATTAAAAGTTTTAATCGGGAGGTGAGAAGTAGAAATCCTTTATAGTTCAGGAAAATCTGAGAGCCTTTTATTTGCATCTGATGCCCAAATCTACCTAAAGATTGAGATTTATGATAAAATAATCTTGTGAACCTATAGAAGGAAAATATTTGAGAAACTTAAATGGATATTTGATAATAGTTTATTCCTTAAAGTATAAGTTAAACTTGTCATTTTCTTTTTTTTTTTTTTAAGATTTTTATTGGGGAATTGGGGGATGGGAACAGCGCTGGGGAATTGGGGGAAGGGGAACCGACAAGTTGCTGTCCTTTTGTTCTTCAGTCTAGTTGTGGAGGGCGTTGCTTCACTGGCCCAACTTGGCACCATCATTGTGCTCTTCCCGGGTGAGGCAGATCAGTCGCCGGCTTCTGGACGGCCGCTCACTGCGGCTGCTGGCCACTCACGCTGGCTGCTGGCTACATACGGTAGCCCATGGCAACCCACTGCCACAGGGACTGCAGCCCACGCCGTCGCCGGCGACTCACGGCAGCCCAGCTCCAGGTTGAGCTGTTGTTCAGCATCTTAGCTGTGGAGGGCAGTGTCACTGGCCCTCATATGTGGGATCCGAACTGGAGCCCTCTGGCATCCCAAGCGAGTTCTTAACCATCGCGCCACTCGGCCGGCCCTTTTTCACTGTTTTTGATATTAGGACTTCGCACAAATCAAGGTGCAGTGGTAGCAAGCTGTACTAATAGCCTTGTCATCTTCACTACTGTGCATTTGCAGTGAAAAGAACAGTGCCACTTTGACTTAAGAATCTCCTTGATGAATCCATAAAAATTAGTGATTTTATTTCATCTCAACCTTTGAGAATGCATCCTTTTAATCTGATGAAAACGGAAGGACATGTAAAGCACTTGGCTGTCTCACTACTGTCCTGAGGAAAACCACTTGTGTTTGAGTTGCAAGCTGAACTAGTTGCTTTTCTCATAGAATTATCAGCTTTACTTGAAAGAGCTGTTGGACAAACTGTGGTTATTCAAACTTGGGTATGTAGCAGATTTCTCTAACATGAACAAGGTGAACCTCTCACTTCAAGGAAAACAACGAAGTATTTATTGCTAATGAACACATTTGACTTTTCAACAAAAATTAGAATTTTGGAAATCTTATGCCCACCACCATAAGCTTGACAGCTTCCCAGTTCTTTTCTGAAGAGACTTTATTGATGAGACTTCTCTGATGGGATTGGTGTTGATATTCAATAATGTAATTTTAAAATGTTATGTATGGGTTTGGAAGATCTACATAGTTCAGTGAACCATTCTAAGTGACCAGTACAAAGTGTTAACAAAATATTGGTTGGGTGTTACAGAGCCAAAGTGCAAGATGGATTTTACACCAACAGCATGAAAAGTCAATTGATAAGGCTTCGGATTCCACATTTCACTTAACCCCTAAGAAACTACCATTTGTCAAGTTTTTGTGTAGCATAAGAAAATACCTATAAATCCTGGAAAGGATATTAAAATGCATCTCTTTTTTCTAGCTGTATGTATGTGTGAAGCTGGATTTGCTTCATAAACCTCATCCAGTACAACACATCACAGCAGATTGAATGCATAAAAATTCATAGGAGAATCCAACTATCTTCTAAGAGTGCCACTCTTCTGTCACTAATTTTTTGTTTCATTTTGAAAAAGAGTTATTTCCAAAAAATACTAACTTATATGTTTATTAGTATTTTTAAGTGAATTAGTATGTTTAAAGGTTCTCAGTTTTATTTCTAATACAGAGAATACCAATAAATGTCATACACATAAATGAAGTTCTTTCAGGTCCTTAATAATTTTTAAGAGCATGAAAGGCCCTTGAAATCCAAAGTTTGAAAATTGTTGCTTTAGGCCATATTTTTGTCAAAGTATAATGTAATCTTTTATCTTTTTTTCTCATAATGCTTTAAGGGCCTCTTGTAGAGAACTATAGAAGTTAGCTTAGTTTTCTACTTTAAGTTTGTTTAGCTCTGCTTCATAACTTAGATGTATTTTCGTAACTATTCATATAATCAAACAGGCTTTAAACTCTAATTCCAAATTGGCTTACTTCTTGCAGTGATTAGATCCATGTGTTGTTTTCAAAACTAGTAATTACAGATTTGTTTTCTTAAGAGATAGTCTCTCTTTTTCTTTCTTCTATAAAATATAGCAGAAACCATCTCTTAAACAATTGCTTATTTTTGTAAGTTTGTGATATTATTGAACCTCTCCCCTGCTAAATTTTTGTATAGTCATTGGATATAAACAGAGGATGAAAGAGAGATACCTGGACAGTACTGCTCCACCCTCTCCCATTTGGAGTACTGTAATGGAAGTTAAAGGTGGGAAGGATCCTATCAGTTTTGAATATTAGTAGCAATATTGTTATGAGTCTCTATTGGAAAGTACTTTTAGTGGCCAGCTCCGTTTTAAGAGCTGTTCCCAGTGACGACTGTATATAAAATTCTGAGTTAGCTTTCTGAGGGTCAGATGAAAAATAAGGGGCCCACCCTTTCTTGTTGGACTCCAGTGGGTTCCTCGGAGTCAGCTTCCTCATGAAAGAAATTTCTTCCATTTATTTTGGCAAAGGTCCAAATTGCTTAAAAGGGAAAAGTATTCGGGAAATAAGTAGAAAAATCTAAGAATTCTTTGAATTCAATAATTATGTAACAATATATAAACCTAGTGTCATTTATGGTAGTACAGTGTTTCTGCATGCATTTGATGATCAGAAGAATTTATTTTTACTTAATAAAATAAAAAATAGTTGTTGAACTGTCTTTCATTTACCTAAAATGTTTTGAAACAGGTTTTAAAAAAACTGCTTCTTGAGTTGTGAAGCAGCAGTTGTAACCCAGGCAGACAGACAACACCATGGTGACTCCTTTGCATCCTTTTCTACCCATAGGTCAGGACTGGTTAAATCTAAGAATTAATATACATGTGAGGTTTGTTTTTCTTTTTTAATTTCCTCAGGTTTATTAATTCTGGCAGTTTTCCCACTCATTTATTCATTTATTTTACATCTTTATTGAACCCCTACTGTGTGTACCAGGCATTGATATGCTTTATAAACTCCTAACCCGTGGAAAATTTTGAACATTAGTTTTTTGTTTTGTTTTCATATAACTGGCCTTTGATTATTATGGTACGAAAAATGTTTATTGATTTGTCTATTTTTATAAAATTTGTCTAGATGGATTATGCAAAGTATATATGTATTTTAAAGGATAATGTTCCAAAATAGTTATTGACGTACTTTTTATTTTTTGTTTCCTAATTATGTTGAAACATAGGCCATTATTAGCCATTTAAAATTTTTCTTAATACTATATATGTGTGTGTGTGTGTGTGTGTGTGTGTATGTATATATAAGTGTGTGTGTATGTGTGTGTGTGTGTGTGTGTGTGTATTTTTTGTTTGTTTGATTGTTTTTTTAAGATTTTATTGGGGAATTGGGGGAGGGGAACAGACAAGTTGCTGTCCTTTTGTTCTTCAGTCTAGTTGTGGA